CCATTTCACACCTTGTGCGTGGGCGATCTCAAAACCCGTGGCTCGCGTAATAACTGGAAGTGCGACGAGTGTGCTTTTGTGAGTTCACCTGCTGCGAGCAAAACAGTTTGTGGCGATCGTGAACAGGGCCAGTCCGTCGTTTTAGAAGCAATCGCTGCTCTCCGTGCTGAAATAAATAATCGTTGGGACAAAAACGACGAGACTATGACATTGATACGTGCAGATATTAGCAACATAAGTTCGCGAGTAGCAGTGATTGAAACCGACCTCTCTATTGTACAAACGAATGCCACTGCAATGCAGTGTGAGGTAGACAATCTGATCGCAGAAAATATTAAGTTGCGCAAAGACCTGTCCTTGACTAAAACGGAAGTGCATGAGCTACAACAGCACACACGAAAGATCAATATTGTAATAACTGGCGTCCCGGTTTTACCCCGAGGTTCAGATCCGCTAGAAGTTGTGAGTCGCATCGCATCTGTATTGGGTATCCCGTTTTATCGCGAAAACATAAACGCGGTGCACTGGCTTCCTCGTAGTGATGGTGCTATAGAAACTCAGCCTATCATTGTATCCTTCATCTCTAGACTACAAAAACGAGAGTGGATTGCTGCTCGACGTAACAGGCAAAGTCTAAAGGCCAGTGAGATCTATAAAAAATTCCCGAACCATCAGGTGTACCTGAATGAACAATTAACGCACGAGACTCGTTCAATCTTCAACGCTGCGAGAGATCTCGTAAAGAAAGGAAAGCTTTCATCAGTGTGGACCGACGACGGCAGGGTGTTGATCAAGAAAAACCCAAACGCACGCCCCCTCCGAGTATCCAGCCTCCATCTGGCCGCCCCTGCCGCCACCGCCGACGCTGCTGCTCCTCCCCCCGCCGCCCCACAGGACACATCCACTTCAGATGCAAATTGAATTGTATAAGGTTTGATGAAAAATAAAAAATGTTTGTCAAATGACTTGGTATAGGCTATATGAGTTCCTGTTAGGAAATGTAAATTAATTAAAAGTGTTAGTATATTTCGATTATTTTATTTTAAAATCTAAAGATCAACCGTTGTGTGAAACATTTGTACATATTCATTAACAGGCTGTTATTGCCGTAATGTCTTATTTGAACCGCTTACCTATTAACTATTACACTTAATCGTGCGATTGCATTTACCAAAGTTTGTTTAGTGCTTAAGCTAAGTTAGACAATAAAACACAATTATTTTTAAATTTTAGCTAATAATCTACCTCATAAAATACTTTTTCGATTCTCTATTTTTTACTACGTCACAATTGATGATTAATGTCTCATGGCACACACTCTTATATGTCACCCTTGACACAGATTGTTTAAATTCCTCTTAACGCTGATGTTTTTAACACTAAATACACAATTTAAGCTAGTCGGCCGGCAATAACCCATTAAATTTAGTAAATTAATTAGCTTTGATGGACGAAGCATTCACCCATTTCATACATTGCAATGTAATTACTGACGTTGATTGTTTCAACTCTTATAATTTAAACCAAAACAACGGTAATGCTATTTATGATTTTAAAATATTACACCAAAACATAAGAAGTTATGGTAAACACATTGACGAATTTCTAGTTTTATTACAAGGTATCAAGTGTAAATTTAATTGTATCATTCTAACGGAAGCATGGTTGAATCATCAGGGTGATCTTATGCGTATAGATGGTTATAATACTTTCAGAAGCTATAACAATCTGAATCAAAGTGACGGTATCGTTGTCTACAACGATGACTCGTTATCAGTGTCCTGCAATCAGCTGCTAATCGGTGGCGTGGCTACGAGCTTGTCCTTGACCTTCGACTGGGCCGGAGCTACATGTAACCTGCTTTGTGTATACGGTAGTCCGAATACATCATTACAGATTTTTAACGACAACTTAAAAGAATTTTTAGAACTTAACACAATAAGTTCTCAGATAAATGTCTTGGCAGGGGATTTAAATTGCGATATTATTCAAACTAATCTTAACTCACAAGAAGAGCGGTACCTCGATATCCTGTCGGATTCATTACTTGCATAGATAAAGTAACACGTCCTGCTAGTAAGACATGCATTGACCATTTTTTCATAACCTTGCCACCATCTTTCACAGCTTCCTCGGCCGTGTTCGAGACAGAAATAACAGATCATTTTACAACCTATCTGGAATTGCAAAGCACCAGGTCGAAAAATATGGAAATAAACAATTGTAGTTCAAAAACAATCAATTGGCAAAGCATTGGCGTGGAACTAATTTCATTCAATTGGAACAATATATTAAATTCGGTAGACGTGGACGAAGCTTCAGAAATGTTTAATAAGGTTATAGGGCAAATTTTAGATAAATATACAATTATTGAAAAGAAATCAGCCAAAGCCTCTAAACTAAAGCCATGGATAACTAATGGGCTCCTAAAGTCAATACGCTATCGAGATAAGTTAAGTAAGCAGCTCCGACATCATCCTTTCAACACACAATTACGGACAAGGTTTACTAGATACCGGAACATATTAATATCATTGATAAAGAAAGCTAAATACAGGTTTTATAAGACTAAAATTTATTAAGCTAACGGTGACTCAAGAAAGTTCTGGAACATTGTGAATGAGGTCGCGGGCCGCCCAAGTGGAAAGGGAAAATTCCCAGTTGAGGGTTTCTGCGCGCACGGTGACACTGCTACACCTGACGCAATAAAAATTGTCAGCAATAATTTCAATAACTACTTTGCCTCAGTTGGCGCGCAACTTGCGAGTACAATAATTAAGACTGACGGGCTAGCTGAGGTCGATGACGCCATTTACGCCACAGATAAGGTTTTCTCCCTGAGACCTGTCACTCAGCAAGAACTCTGCGATGTTGTGAGGTCCATAAGAGGCAATTCAGCTGCCGGATGGGATGGCATTCCATCGAAGCTTATTAGTGGCTGCTATTATGGACTCAATTAATTTTCTATTTGAATTCGCCTTTGCGGCAATATGTTCTACTTTATTTCTTACTTTATTTAGAACTAACCTTTAATTTTATACCAAACTCGACCTACGCTGCTATTAAAGAATGTTGTCTGACTCATCATGGGCCATCCCCCTTAAGGGTTAAAAAGTGATAGTTGCTTAAAAGAGAAGATATTTATGTAGATTGTGAAGGTGCAATTTTGTCCTGGGACAAAATTTTACTGTAGTCCTCTAATAACTAAAATAATTGAGTATGTCCAGGATTAGAAGTAATAATAATGGTCTTAAACTTTAAAATATGGGCTCAGATATGGTCGTTAAAGCATCAGCTTTCAGTAAATGACACATTCATCACTGCCCGGGTTACGCCTTAATTTAAACTTAATTTGGACTTATTGGCGTTAATTCCGTGAGTGAAACTCTGGTCGTAATTAACTTAAATCGTTAACTTGGAAAATAAAACAAATCTCTATTTAATGGATATACCAAGTTTCACTTTTGGAATTAAAACCAACGATACTTAAAATAACCGAATCAATTGTAGAGGGTCCACGAGCTATTTCGCCCTGACGTAACCTAATATTCGACGATACCAAGGTTGTTACACCACTGGCTCACTTACAGGGCTATTCCGCCCTTGACCTAAGATTTCGCGATGTAAGTGGGTCCGAGAGCTAATCCGCTTCTCGGCCTAACCCTAGTATTCGTCGCTTCCAGGGTTATTTCACCTCTGGTTCAATTACCGGGCTATTCCGTCCTCGACCTATCGTCTCGCAATATACGCGGGTCCGAAAGCTATTCCGCTTCTCGGCCTTTTTATAGGGGTCGCAAAGCTAGCGCAGTATGTGGCGCTCGGAGAACTGATGACCCCCGCTCAGGCCATTTGAAATCGCCTAAACGCTCGTTTTCTAAACTCGTAATATTTTTACCATTACAAGATAATAAAAAAGAGGATTTTTGTTAAACAAAAGTTATAATTAGGTATAGCCTAATAGAAGAAATTTTTTTAAACAATAAATGCTGCAAATGAATTATTTTCTATAAACCCATAAAAAAGCCTGGGCATTTTACATCACCAACCATGGGAACAATTTGTTATTTTCTTTACAAAATAATAATTCTTTAAATTTTTATGTTTTAGAAACATACTATGATGCTCGCAAGAAATTATCAAAGGTTGAGGATACCTCTAACCTAAGTAGTGACGAAGAGGAGTCTACGAAGAGAAAAAGGAAGCCAAGAAACGTTAGTTTGCCAGGAGAGGATGAAGAATATTCTGACGAGGACTCAGATGCTGCATCAAAAAAATCTAAAAAACAGACTTCCCTACCAGCTTATCCCCCTTTAACATCATTTTCTTCCCAGCTTCCTTCTACCACTGACCTGTCCATAAATATTTCAGACGAATTCCCTATTTTTACAGCCACAGAAGTCCTGAATAATGCTAATTACACTCCCCCTGCCACTGCTAGGTCCAATCCCCTCATGGAATGTTTTATCTATGGGTAGGCCTATACATATAAATATACGTGCACATGTATAAATATATTTATATTTCAGATTTTGGTAGGGCCTATTTTTTTAATTTTCTGAGCGCTTTGAGTATAAATGGAAGAGATTTAAAACACGTTTAAACTCATAGAAATAGTAACAAGATAATTAATAATTGATTATTTAAAAGAGCTTAGTTTGAAATACATTTGGCTGTGTTTAAACTTTTTGGTTAATATACAAATTTGTACTTAACTGGGAGTCCATTTGTTCCGGGCATACATTTACCCCATGTTTAACACATAACATTTTTCTGATTAAGCACATTTCATCATTTTTAGTAACAACTGTATTTCCCATAGGTCTAATAACTGCTGTTACCATATTATATATCTTTCTAGACGAGCTCTAGAGTTGAAAACCATTCAAATTGCAAATACAATTGTTGCATTACATTGCATTTTATGTTTGTTGTTGATTTTTGATTGATGTTAAAATAAATTTGATATTTTCAGATTGTAATAGACTTTTTGTCATCGTCGGACAGCTCCAGGAAACAGTTGTTGTCCTCACAGACGCTGTTCAAAAATTAAGCAGAAAAATGGATGACCGTGCAATGAACAATGAAGAACAGGAAAATGGAAAATACGAAATAATAGGGAGGATACCAGTTCAGAATTTGAAAGAGATGGAAGAGTTGGAGAAGATACTAGAAACCCCTCAATTTAGTAGGCAGTTGGTAAGTTTGTGTATTTTTCATTGAAAATAACATTCTTACCTAGTAACTTATCCTATTCAGTTTTTTGAATACTGATCTATGCTCTGAGATTCATAGCCGTCAGTAGTTTTCCCACCACAGCAAAGTATGTAATTTTGAATTATTAAGTGGTCATTAATTTCTTGGTGCAGGAACGTTGAAAAAGTAATGAATGTGGAAACCATAGGTATCACAAAGTAAACTCAAAGCTGTAGCCTTTGGGCTTTTTTGGAATGTTTTTATATCAATATTGTACAAACCCTTAAAATCTGAAATTATAGGCTAACCATAAAACATATTGATGCTTAAAAGGGATCGTAACAAGGTCTGACACACTTCCTGGTCAGGATTTTCATAGCTTATCTTAGGTTTTTTGCAGCAAACCTAAGATACTCACTAAAATTAATGTTATTTAAATAGGAAATAAATCTGAAAATTTTTAGGGAATATTTGATTAGAAATCAAGTTGGGTAAATGGAAATTTGCTTGGTCTGCAGGTTTGATGCGGCGGGAGTATTTTTAATTATTAATATGTGTATGAATCTGAACATATGGTGTTTTCGGCCTCTGGGGACCTCAAAACAAAAAAGTAAATCGGTCCTGGGTCCAGGTCTCACTATGAGATCTACGCTTATAGCCTATTCTCATTATGGGAAATTCGCTAAAAAAATGTTTACATTTTCCTGAAAAGTGAGTTATATCATTGACTAATTGATACTGTTGTCTAAATAGTCAAAGGTTATATCCATGCAGTGCTCTGCGGAGGGGTTGAAATAGACTATAAATCTTATATTTTTGAGGAATGCTAATATGCCTGCCCTTTACAATTCCCAAGGCCAAACTGCAAAATCAGCCTTGAAACAATACCAATGAGAACAGAGGGAGGAGCCTGGTACAGAAAAGATAAGACAACTAACTGTTCAGGTTTTCTGCCATCTGTATTTGTCAATAACAGACTTTGGGGTTGTCTTGTTTTAAATTGTGCATAAAGAAAACACATTAAGTTATGTTCGTAAAAAATTTGACTGTCATTAAATGTGTGAATTGTACAAATTAACACAGCACTTATACTTTCATTAGGCCTAACTATTTTTTACAGTTATCTTCATTATGTCCACTTAATTAAACAATCAAATAATATGTATATTTTTTTCAGTTTAAGGTTCTAACCTCGGTCGGGGGGAAGGATGTAAAAACCATGACATACAACTGCCTACGACGGTTGATGTCCTACCAGGTTGCGGTAGAATACTCTTACAGCGGCAACACTGCAAGAAATAAGGAAAAGACGAAGAAAATTGCATTTTCGAAAACAAATGCCTGCAAAATCGCACACGGTAAGAAGCTTAATGTTTTTAATCACAATTTCTTTATTGTTAATTGACAATCCTATACATTGAACTTGCATTTAACCTTCTGTCGGGCGCATTGATTTTTCAAAAACCATAGGGCGCTCACGGAAGTTACCTCTGGGAGTACGAAAACTATACATATGTTGAGTAAAACCCGTCTAATAGTAATAAAACTGTAAGAAACAAGTTTTAATGAGTTTTTACACAATTACTTAAGTTCTTTATAAAATAGTAAGTGTTTATTAAACAACACAAATACTTAAGTGTTGTGGATAATAAAGACTTAGGCCTACTTTTTGTACATATACAGTACTATCATATAACATTTTCAATAGTGTATTACATAAAAACATGTATGGTCTAATGAAAATATTGATTTGTTACAAGGACAACTCATTTAATCAAAGCTCTTAGACAAAAATTGCATCAGTGTATGACATACAGGGTGGTAAAAAAGTCCCTGGACAGTTAAATATTTTTAAAAATAATGTAGATAGAGCTACAATACTTGGTACAAAGTTACAGGGCATAAAACTCTATTTAAACACATTTTGAAGTGCGGTTTGCAGCATTGTATTCTACTAAAAAAGACCTTTAATTTGATGTGCATATTGACCTATGCTTCCATTTAAAATTTTCTTCCGACTCCTTGTGGGCCGTCCCCCTGAAGAGTTATTGGATCACTGAATATGTGTTTAAATAGAGTTTTATGCCCTGTAACTTTGTACCAAGTATTGTAGCTCTATCTGCATTATTTTTTAAAATATTTAACTGTCCAGGGACTTTTTTACCACCCTGTATAAACATCTGCATGGTCCTTATGAAAAATGGACCGCATTTAGCAGAAGGGAACCAACCCACAAAATTAAATATTTTGAGATATTGTTTGTTTTGTATTTAGGAAATCAATCTGTGAAAAAAAAAAAATTTTCGCTCATCAAAACGACATTAATATAAAAAAAAAACAAACACAATTTTGTTTGGATTAGAATCCTGTGTATGAATTTCGAAGAAAAGAACCAACATTGGTTCCACAAAAATACTCAATTTAGATTTTTGGAGAAAGGAACTAATCCACTTTAGTTCTGTCCTTACATGTACATGTTACATCCTTACCCATATATCTATTTCAGCAGAAAGGAACCAACCCTAAAACCAACTGCTACTAGAACAGCTGATGTTTTGTGTTTGTGAAGAACAATAATTTAATTTAAACATAAAGTTGTTGTTATGTAGGCCTTACAACAGAATGATTATTGATCCGTTGGCAAATGTGTTATGTGCATAGTTTGTTTATTTAACTTTTGTAGTTGTAAGTACCAAGCCTATTGTGATGCTTGTGAAACTAATTTAAAAATGGCAAAATTGCATTTAATAAATATTATGTAATAAAATATTTATTTTTTATCGTAATTGTTTCTTTAATTAGAACCTTTAAAAGATACTGTTACCAGTATCTTTTACCAGTACCAGTAAGAATACATTAACCAAAATTATAAAAACAGCAAGAGCTTTTTATATTATTGACCAATTTGTTGAATTTCCATTTGTTTTGGGAAAAATTGCAAAAATATTGTTATTGTGCCAGCCATAGTCAGTAACAAGGCTATAAGATCGCGCAACAATCATGACAATCATCACACTCATCCTTCATTCATATTCAGGTTAAAATACCCACTAAGTGAGGTCCCTGTCTTAAAATAGTGATATAGCTGACGTAATCCGCTTCGCTGGGTATTTAAATTAAATAATTAATTTAATAATTAATAAATAATCTTAAGAAATTACAGCTTTCGATTCGATTTACATTAGCAGACAAAATTCAAAAAGTATAGTAAAAATAATAAATTGTTTATCAGCTGTTGGAAATTAAACACCTTTATGTATGTTCAACTCTTCCCTTTTATTTATATTTGGGTCCTTAGGAAAAACTAGCTCGAAAAACGAATATGTTACCTCCAATTTTCTCATTGAGACCTTTCATCTAAGTATAAGGTTGATGAATGTCAGACTTATGGTTTTCTCAAAAGTTAATGATAATCGAGGCTTCATAGATAGAAGATAGAGAATGTGTCTTAAAGAACAACTGGCTTTAAAACAAAATGTGTCAAAAGAATTTCAGAGAAAGGAATCAACCCTCTAGACCTTTTCTGCTAATTTATTCCTAGGAATTTTTTAAAAAGCTGAACGGAACCAACCCACAAAAACATAGAATAACAAATTAAATTACAATACCTAAATGTATAACCTTTACACATAAAAAAAACTAGAAAAATGGTAATTCATCAACACAATTCCTGTATCTCTTGGTTAAAACAGTGATTTATAGTAATCAGTCAAATTTATAGGCTTCTAACTCAAAATTGACCCAGTGTGGGTTGGTTCCTTTCTGCTAAAAGCGGTCCAAATCCCTTTTATACGAACAACTTATTTTTTTCAAAGCTCTTTAACAAAATTGCAATAGTGTATGAAATAAAGCACCTATTGTCAGATGAAAAAAAATCATTTGTTAGAAGGACTACTCATTTTGTCAAAGATCTTTTTCTTTAAAAAATAGTACCCGAACAAACCCGCCAGTGGGCCTTTCCTCTAAATCTTCTTCCCTGTCCTCCCTTTCAACACTAGCTAACAATCTCGCTACCTTGAGTGACGAAAACCACTTCCCAATGTTGTTTGACAACTGGGAAAGGGGTAAGAGTAGCCAAAACCAATCCTGCAAAAGCGGTGCTTGAGGTACGGCACGCAACAGCCCTGCCAAACACAAACTATGGTTTTTATAATGAAAAATGTTGTGACCCGGAGGTAACTTCCATGATGCGTCCGATGAAAGGTTAATTTTCTCTTGAGTTAAACAAGCTCAGACCGGAGATTATAGATGTAGTAATGCAATCAATCAGAGTTTGGACTCTGTTATTATAAATCTTGCAATTAATAATGAAAGTTTTATAAACTACCGAATACTTCTTTAAAAGGATGTTTGATTACAGAAGCTGTAAAAAGAGTAAACCCAGTGGCAACTGAGGAAGTTGTAAAGACGTGGATGGGAAAGTGGCTGCAACAAGCGAAATATAGACTAGATCGAAAGTAAGTTAATTTTCTACCTTATAACATTGTGGATGAAGTTAATATATTTTTAGTTTTAATGTATTCAAACAATTTCTCTAACTACTTTCACCTTTCTTGAAATCAGCATATGATTGACATTGAGTACACTCCAATAAATTGAAGTTGTCTGCCTACCATAAAGTGTGTTGTACGTTAACATGTTTTCTGACTTTATTATTTTCCTAGTATGTAAATAACTTTTTCAAAAGGGCCAACCATACTTATTGAATGTGTTTAAACAGTAAGGAACACTTGTTACATGATGAACTACATTGACGTTGATTCCAAAACTTCCTTTTCGAGTGAAGGGAATTTAGTTCACAGGGAAAAATTATCATTCACTGTCATCTTGATTTATATGCATTCCAAGAATGTTCACCATTTTAGGTGCCACAGAAAATATTTTTGTTGAATGTAATTGATCTTATGCCTAGATGAGGTCAGTAATATGTAGCTTGAAAGCCTAAATTCAATTTCTTTGTCAATTAAAATTTATTGGCCGGTGCTTCCCGTAGCTAATAGGGTATAAGTAGGGACGACATTCAGATTCTTGTCATTTGCCTATTGGGTCTGAGGATGATTGGAGTGTCCGATCAAAATCGATCACCACTTACCATGTTTTTTGTATCCCCTACCGTAAGTGTTAAAAGACGTTTCTTTTATTTACTTTCCTTAATCTCAAGGCAACAACTCAAAAATGAAATTATTTATCAGTTTTAAACTGTGTTATTAAAAAGCAGGGTTAATTTCTCGCCCTATCACCAGGCTGACACTTTATTCCTTTATTTCTCTTAACGAGGTTATGATGGGTGTATTCTTTATTTGATACGTTCCGTTTTAATACTACTATTAATTTTCACAGTTTCTAATGCAATTGTACAATTTGTTATAGATCTTCTGAAGCAGGCGGAGTAGTTGAAGTTGGAGAAGAAGTTGAAGAAGAGGAAGTAGGCCTACAATAATGGAAATTATATTTACTATACATAATAATAAATTTTCTTGAAACGTGAATGCCTTGTTTTCTGGACCCAACAGATCATTATTTATTAATATATACATTTAAACCAATTTTTTATCACTTGAGGTTTATTATATGACCTTAATATTTTTTATAGAAAAAATTGGCCTGAAATATGAATGCAAAGTGAACGGTGGGAAATTGCTTTTACGTTAAATATATATATATATATATATTATTAATATTATTACTGCTTATATTATTATTTTATCTAATGGCACAGTGATTATTGTTTAAAAAAATCTGAGTTAAACACCTAAATTAAATTATTTAACACTAATAAGACAAATTAATTAGTATTATCAACATACATGCTTTTTAGCGAATTTCCCTATAGGGAAGTAGCTATTACCGTAGGTGGCATGGTAAGACCTAGACCCGGGACCGATTTACTTTTTCATTTTGATGTCCCCAGAGGCCAAAAACACCATTCGTTCAAATTTTTATATATGTATATATATATATATATAGACTTATATGTATATATATACGTCCGTGAACGCGATAACTTGAGTAATTTTTGTCCGATTTTGATGAAATTTGGTTTGAAGGTGTAAGGCAGGATAAACTTGAATGAGTTCGCGAACCAGCACGATCGGACCATGGGAACGGGGCTTTACGGGGGGTTTTATGGGGTAAAAATTGGTTTTTCTCACTTTTGACCCTCAAAACACAAAATTTCCTGATTTCTCTTTAGACCGTTTTAAAGAGCTTAAAAAAACAAATAATTTAGTATATAAAAGTATTTTTATTCGATTATTAGTAACGAAGAAAATTAAAACAAAATTGTAAATTTAAAATTCCCATGTTATTCTTATGGAGAATATTGTCAAATGTTGTAGTTTGCTTGTTTATGGATATATTTTGATCAAACTTGGCAAATTTATTTATTTTGTACTAAGCTATCAATATTTTACTCAAAAACACACTTTATTAGTTTCCTTGTTGCAGCAAACCTAGGTACTTGTTAAACCTAATGTTATTAAAATATATTTAACTGAAAATCAATTCAGACAAATGGAAATTCGCTTAGTCGGCAGGTTTGCTGCGGCGGGGGTATTTCACTTTATTTAGGGTTATGACATATTGATATTTTAAAATATTTATTGAGAGCTATAACAAAACAACAATTGTGTACCAAGTTCAAAGTGAGTATGTCAGTGTGAGCTTGTTTACCCAAGTCTAACATGTACCAAAACCAATTCCAATATGAGTCTAAGCCAAGTCCAAAATAAGCCTACTAAAATTGGGCTTGGGTCCCCAAGTCCTGAACAAGTCCATAATGAGCCTGTTTAATTTATCAGTGTGAGCTTGTTTGTCTAAGTCCAACATGTGCTAAAACCAATTCCAATATGAGTCTAAGCCAGGTCCAATGTGAGCCTACTGAAATTGGGCTTGGGTTCCCAAGTCCCGAACAAGTCTATAATGAGCATCAGTGTGAGCTTGTTTGCCCAAGTCCAACATATGCTAAAACCAATTCCAATATGAGTCTAAGCCAAGTCCAATGTGGGCCTACTGAAATTGGGCTTGGGTCCCCAAGTCCCGAACAAGTCTATAATGAGCATCAGTGTGAGCTTGTTTGCCCAAGTCCAACATATGCTAAAACCAATTCCAATATGAGTCTAAGCCAAGTCCAATGTGGGCCTACTGAAATTGGGCTTGGGTCCCCAAGTCCCGAACAAGTCTATAATGAGCATCAGTGTGAGCTTGTTTGCCCAAGTCCAACATATGCTAAAACCAATTCCAATATGAGTCTAAGCCAAGTTCAATGTGGGCCTACTGAAATTGGGCTTAGGTCCCCAAGTCCCGAACAAGTCCACAATGAGCCTTTTTTATCTACTAGACCCAGGTTGTGTTAATCATTCCAAGCTTTGAGTGGGTTTGTGTGCATGAGTTAACTGTAGGTTTGGGGTTGGGACTTGGGTTAGACTTGGGGAGCCAAACCCCTAACAAGTTGAACAACTGCCAACTTCGGTCTCTAAAACAAGTCAAAACCAAGCCTACAGACTTGGGTCACTGAGTTTAAACCAGGCTTAGGGACTTGGGTCAATGGACTTGGAACAAGTTCCCAGCAAGCCCATTGTGCTGTTGGGGAATGAAACACAAATCAATGAAAACAATAAAAAAAAAATGGTTATAAAAACGTCCTGAGGCAATCTGGGTTTTAGTCGGAGTCTCTGGATTTCGGAAGGTTGGCCTGTGTTATAAAATCCAATGCTGCTGGTTAATCGAAGTTTTGTAAACAATTTTGATGTAACTTTCTTGATAAAGTCTTCTATAGGTTTTATCCCCAGTTCTAAATGTATTTGACGGGTTCGAATATACCAGGGACATTTTAGAATTATCATTAAAACTTTATTTTGAAATGTTTGCAGTTTGCGAATTGAGCTTGATGAAGCAGTTCCCCATACTGGGCAGGCGTATAACAATAGTGAACGTAGAAGTGTTTTGTATAAAAGGGTTCCATTCTTCATAGACATACATGATTTTTTGTTGATTAAAGGAAACAATTTTGATAATCTGCCATAAGCCAAATTTAATTTTTTATTAATATGAAATTTACAATTTAACTTTCGGTCGAAGTATACACCTAAATATTTTATTGCTTGGTCAGGAGGGTTCCATGCAATCTGTTCACCTAGAATTTCTAAATTTGGAGGATCTAACGGTTTTCGGAGGGTAAAAATCACGAACACAAGTGTTGATACATGTTTATTTCTTAATAATAAAAGGTAAACATTGAATTATTTACAATATGAAATTATTCCAGTCATATGATTAATATTAAAGTAAAAGATAGATTCTTGGAATATATAACAATACGAATTTGAACGAATGGTGTTTTTGGCCTCGAGGACCACAAAACGAAAAAGTAAATCGGTCCCTGGTCCTGGTCCAGGTCTTACCATAAGACCTACGGTAGGTAATAGCTTATTCTCTATTATGGGAAACTTGCTAAAGGCAGTTTTGTGTTTTGGTATGTGGTTATGTCTAAGAAAATATATATTCTCATTGTATCCATTGACAATTTTCACCGTTTTAGTGTTGGCTACACTGGTAAAAAATAGATGTTTGACAAGTAGGAAGGTATTTTGTGCCAAATTGCAAGGAACGTCGTCGACCATTAAATTTCCTGCTTCAGAGATTTGTGGAGTTATTTTACGTAATCTTTGTTGAAGTTGGACTCTTCGTTTAACGGTAAGTCGCTATCTTACATCCAAATTAATGGTATAGTATTCTGATTTAAAACATACTTCGGTTCTTTTAAATATTTGTTATTCAAGCCACATTCTAGTGACATCACAGGCTCAACCCAGTAGATTGCTAGGTATAGGATTTTTCCGGAGCTAATCGCTAAGCTGTTACCTACATTAAAATCTTGTAAATGGATGTAATGTTCTTATTCAGACTACGTTAACACTTTTGATAGGTATTCTTGCTGGAAATTGAAATCGCTAGTCCATTTGAGTAATTCCCATTTCCTTTTTAAAGCAGCTGGTTTGTCAATTGCATTAGGATTAACCACGATTACTACTAACTTAGCTGGCTACTTTCCGAGCTTAGTAGCCTATATAATGTCTTTTCCTCTTAATATTTAGACCTATTGGAGGTAACTTATTTAAAGAGAATGTATCAACCTTATAAATGGAATAATTTCAATTGATTGATGTGTGATTTGATTTAAATACCAATATTAAAGGAAGGAAGCTCTTTGAGTACCCACAGGTTCTATCAGGTCAATATTATCCAAGCCAAAATTTTCATGATTGAAGCTGTCCCTTAATCCTATAACTTAAGTAGGCCTACCGGTAACATCATAAAATTTTTAAGCCTAACTTATGAGTTTTTTTCTCTAATGAGTTTAAGTTTACAGGTAATTGCTATAACTTAACTTAAGTTATTTTACTAAGAAGGCATCTCAATCCCAATTTTATTAGGCTAAGTACCTACCGGTACTTAAAGTAGGCCAAAACATTCTTCATTGATTGATGCAAGAAGATTATGAAGATTATGTATGGCTTTAAGTTAAATTAAAATTCAACAAAGAATCCCTAATTTAAATTTTGTTTTTCAAACTAAGGAGATTTTTAAGTTTAGGTGGTGAACCAAATAGGCTAACTTAGGCCTATAACTTATTTTTACTAGCCACTTGAAAGGCATTGGATGTAAACTTATTTGGCCTACCTATTTTATATGGGAATGTTGCTGGAAGTCAACAGTCCCGGAAGATCAAATAATTTATACCTGTGCCGCTAGCTCAAAAACTACAATGTTTGCAGTGTCTGTAGATCAAAAGTCCCAGTAAGTCAAATAATACAGTCCGAGCTAAAAACGTGGTCTATGTTAAAGCAATTGACTTAAGTTATTGGGAATTTGACCTAATGCAACAGCAGTTTTAATATAACGAAATACGGTAAAATACAAGTTCAGTTTCGCTGAGTCAACAGTGCCGTAAGATCAAAAGCAATAAAAGTGAACGTCGATTCAGTGTAAAGTAGACCTCCTGCAACGCTTACTACACCAACAAAACGTGCTTTTAGGTACTCCGTGTTTTGTCATAATTAGAATTGAGCTAAAATTATCATATTTGGTACATAGCTTATCTATTAATGCTTCTTGCCAACTGTTTGGTCAACACTGTAAATAGGTATAGTTTATGTAATAAAAAGCAAGCCTTTCGTCAAAATTTGTGGCATGAAATACACGCAAGGACGATCTGAAAATTTCTGGTTATTATATACGTTTGTAAAAGGAGATCCATTTAATTTTAGAATTATTTTATGAGTTATAATGTAGTCTACACATAAACTGTGTAAATGTATTACACCTCGGAAGGGTTGAAACCTGTCCAAACTATCATATATATTATTAAAACGTAAATGGGGGTTTTTCACATTCTGAATCCACCAGTCGACGGATTTTCATTATTTTTGTGTTGAAAGAAAGATAATTTTGAGAACTAGGGAATGTCAAAGCCATAATTATAATTAAG